GAGTACATCTAGATTAATCCATTCTTCGAAATGCACTACATTTACAATGATTAGATTACAACCCTCTCTAATTAGTGTGGGCCCCACAAATTAATTAATTTGTGGGGCCATACTAATTAGAGAGGGCTGTAAAATTTACAGCCATCTAATCACTGTACAAGTGGTTTTTTCGTTATTCTTTTATGTTAATGTAAATTAAGAATAAATTGTCTTTCTCATAAAAATTAACTTCCTAAACCTCAAAATAAACAGGGTCGGATGTAGAGGAGTAACTGTGCACTTAAAACTTATATGTTAGGGACCATGTTGGCAAAAAGGTTAGAATAGGGATGACAATGAAACTACATCCATAGGTATAGGTTGGAGACTAATGTCGCAATTTCGTGATATTCGAATTATGTTACAGTGGATTAGTGTAATTTGGTCCACCTAGAGATCAACACTCATTGTTTCCGACACGTGTTTCAGTCAGAAACCGTTACCTGGTCTCGTCCAGCGAGTGATGATCCCATGAAAGCAAAAGAAACGATATGCTTTTGTCGACAAGGTCCCCACCTTCTTTCACATTATTTGCAAGCAGGAATATCTTTTTAATATTAAAATTATAATACATTTTTCTCACTTATTTTTAATCACACATTTCTCAATAAAATAATATTTTAAGTGAATCAGAAATTTTTTATTTTTTTCAACCCCTCGTTCTCCAAAAAAAAATCATTCTAAGGGTGTGTTTGATGGATATTATTTTGGAATAGTAGATTGATGGAGAATGTGTGGATGAAAAAGAAGGAAAAGTTATTGATGTGATGGAAAATATTATTTTAATGAAGAATGTATGGTTGAAAATGAGTAGAAGAATGAGAATAAAAATTTTAATGGGTGCCAAACAGGGCCCAAAAATTATAATACCAAATATTGTGACCAAACTGGGGCTTGATTTCACCAACAATTTTTAACGTCTTTGTCGAGATTGTACCACATAGAGGATGGCAACCATGTGGTAAGGCAAAATGTACTTCTAACATTATTGTTTTTGTTAATTCTAATCCTTGTAGCATACGGACTAAAATCCACCACCTAACAGTGAGAATGGATACTGCGGTGGACTAGAATTCTCCCCATCCATAAGTTCTTCGTAATAAACTGAATTCATACCACCAGCATTATTATACCTCGCTATGCTATTTATTGGTGGCGGCGCAACCACATAACAACCACTTTTGCTGGAGGAACACGGTGAAGAACCAGAAATGGTGGCACAGTTGTAGGGGTCTTGCTCAATCATAGACATATCTATGCCTTGTCCTTGGTTCAACCACTCCGGGTAAGCAGCCTCTATTGGTGGCGAAGATTGATAAAATGTATGGACTTCCAAGTTCTCGTCCCGTGGAGAAATTGGGGACATTTCCCTGAGGAAAGCAACTTCTTGATCGTCTTCACTCTTGATTGATGAACTTGACATGGCCATTCCGGTCGAAGAATTTGAAGATGCCGAAGATATCACGAACCTTCTCTTCTTCTCGCTGTTACCTAAAGTCAACCTTTTTGTTCTCTCTTTTTCGAGCATCATGCGAGTTAAGATGTCTGGATCTTCAACGAGTTTGTATAAGAAAGTCATCATTTGTTGGGGTCTCCTCTCCGTTGCTTCCAGCCTTTTGTTCATGCACTCGAGCTTTTGTTCCAAACTCTTCTGTTCATGTTTCAACTTTGAAATCTCCATCAATAGCTCCTCATCTTCATCGTATTCGTGTTTTTGATAGGAACCAAAGGTTTTACTACCATGCTTCCTCCTCACTATGTTCTTCAACAAGTGAGTTTGACCTCGTAAAAACCATTCATTTGCAAACTCCCACCTATCAGGATCAACCTTTTTAAAACCCTGATGGAATTGATGATCAAAATGGTTATATCAATTCTTTGTTGTACCAAACAAAAAGTGAAACAGAGACTGCTAAATATTACTATAATTTTGAATGGTAAATTCCAACTTATGTTGACAAAGATGAGGAAAGACAGGATTCATCTTGCAAAATTCAAGCTTGACGTGCAAAGAATGTATCGGCAAAGCTCAATTATATCATATCACAATTATTCACACGCGCAAAGGCCAGAGCAACATAGGATTTCAAGGTTCGACATTGGACTACAACATGCTCCATCATTTATGTAATTTATCAACTCCGCATCAACATTTTTACCATGAATAATAAATGGAAATCTTTCTTATTGCCCTCAAGATTCAGTGATTAAACTGAGCCAAATGGTCTTTCGATAGCCAATTAATGTTGCAGCTGCAATTTTTGTGAATCCAAGTTATTTTTCACCTGGTGGGGATCAAAATTCAAAGCTTACTTTCCTGGACGAGGAATAGAAAGAAGTCTTTGCGTATACCCTTTTCCCCATCCAATAAACCAAAAGGAAAAACGAGAGAAAACAACGAACAAGAAAAAACTATATAGGACCTCATGGCCTCAACTAATCTCTGCCTCTTCGTGTCACCAAAAATCAAAGGTTAAAGAAATCAAATTATAAACACAAATTCAAGGAAGAAGGCAATCCACAACACACACACACTCTCCAAATAATAAGATTATGCTGACGAACTTGAAACTCCGATCGAATCAATTTTGCGCTATATAGGCTTTTGCTTTCGATATGTTGTTAGACATAGTTGCTTGAATACACATACGCATGCAAGGAAGCGTTAAATTCATACCTAACAAATTTGAAACTCTCAATTAATGAGTTTTGCTTGATATCACATTTCTGCTTTCAACGTGATGTTAGGTGCAGTTTCTTTGTATATAATATGTAATTGTTATTCTAAGAATATGAATTAATAACACCAAGCAGGCCAACCTAAAAAATTTCCAATAACTGTTCATCTTCCATGTACAAGATAAAAAAGTAAGGGAAAAAAACACTTTGCCTCTATCCATGATCTACATACACAGCTGATTTGATTCAAAATTTTCTAGGGTCCAAATCAAATTGGGATTGAATAAAAAAGAAAAAAAAATTCAAATTGTGATTACGTATGAATAGAATTACAGTCAAATTCCCACAAAATCTATTCTGATAAATAATCAACGAAAAATTACAATAAAATTACATAAATTATACTAAATTACAGGTTGACAAATACTCACGTAAGTATTGAGCTGACGAACAAAGCTTGAGAAATTGTTGTGCTTGAAGAAAGCTGGCAAAATACTCTTCGAAAAACTCAAAGGCTCCACAATAAGAAAACTATTATTAGCCTTTCCCCATGTAATTATCTCATTCGTTGTGGAATCGTTCACCATTTGGTATGTTTTCATAACAAACAGCGCAACAATATTGTTATTACTATCCATTCTGTGAGTTTGCAGTTTCTTCTCACGTCCCTCTCTCTCTGAAAAAGAGATTCAGATGAACAGGAGTGAGAAAGGGACAGCGAAGGTGAAGATAGTGGTGTCTGCCAAAAAAAAAAAATTCACATTCAGTTCTGACTGTGAAAGGGCGCCATAATATAGGGTGGAGTGAGGGGGTGGGGTAAAAGGGATGGGTTGGTCGGCTTGAACTTGAATCCGTTGAAAATAATTGAACCAAATTGAAGCGAAGTATTTATTAGGAAGGGAAGTGCTACAAGTACATTAGCGGTGTCATAATGGACACATGGCACCCTTAATGAACAAGAAGAATTATCCTATTAGGAATGGGCATTTTAATTGAAAGTCGAACTTTTCGAATCAAAATCAGAGATTTTTGTTCGGTTTCAAAAAATAATAATTTAGGAATTGAAATCGAGAACCGAAAGTCAACAAAGTTTGATCGATTCTTGACTCTTGAATCGAAACAATGGGTATTCGGCTCTATAATCGAATTTGTAATTTTTATAATTTTTTTTTTATCTTTAAAATATATTTAACGTAAACAAATCATCTCGTCTTAACAAGTTTGCAAGACCCCAGTACTAGGTACCTATATAATATTGTTTTTGTTCATAATAATTTCTAATCACATTCTACACGTTGCCCGTCTCACAAATATTTCTTGAAGTGTCGCAGGAGCCACAATCAGAATTGGTGTCATCATGCTAGGTATTGGATATTATTTGGCAACATATATATTTTTTTACTGGATTAAAAAAGTGTTGAAATACGTATTTGGTGATATATATATTATTTTTCTATTTTTGCTAGATATTGAAAAATAATTTATATTGTCAGTTCATGATTTTTTGTAGAAAATGTTATGCGTAGAAACGAACATATACCTAAACCGAATCAATGATTCTAGTTAGTGTTTGGTCTCAATAATTACGTGACCCCAAATGGTTCTATTTATAAAACATTCGAAGTATAATAGGCAAATCTGAGTATTGAAATACCCAGATTGATTCACAAGATGTACATACCTAATTTTTATATTGATTGAATCGACCTAAATCATATTTGATTTAATTCTAATTCTAGTTTAGGGGTTGCAAATAAAAATACTGATGTTAGGGTCGGATTTGGTCGAGGTCAAGAGCGAGATTAAAATCGAGTAGGGTCGGGTCGGGTCGGGTCGGGTGCATGCACAGTGTATACATGTGGTACAGTGGAGCGCAATGGCATGGGGTCGTTATCTGTTTGTGGTAAGGGGTTCATGTGGCTTTTAAACTTTTTTTTTTTTTTTAATCTGTGTTGATACACGTCATGGTCCCAATAATTAGATATTTCACAAAGTCTTGATTCACAGGCGCGGACCAATGAGCGAGCGGATGCTGCTTTTTTATTATTTAATTTCATAAAAGTGGTCCCATTTAGAATTTGCTCCGTGTCGAGTGATAAAAGAAAGATGCCAAAAGTGTTAAATTAATTTGCACATCTGGTACGTTAAAATGTATTAATTTAATACTTAACCACAATTGTTTTTGTTTTTAGTGTACATCCATAATCTATAATATATTAAATGTCACGGTGAAAATAATTTTTTGGGTGATTTCAACAATACTACGATTCAATTATTTCAATGATACTTTCCTTTTCATTTTTCAATATGTAATAAAAATACTACAAAATTATTGTCACGTATGAATTTCGTGTTATTAATTTTCAATTAATTAACATTCACATTAATCTAGATTTAATAAATATTGACTTCACAAATCTTAATCTACATGAATTTAGAGTTATTATAAATGAATTTATTTATATTCATATATTTAGAAATTTTAATNTAGACTTGATGAATCTCAATCTACATGGATCTAGAGTAATTATAGTTGAATTTACTTATATTCAAGTATTTAGAAATTTTAATGGATGTTTAAATTCATGTATTAGCAGTTAATTCTTATGTATCGAATCTCGTATAAAAAAGTTGCTCATTTGTAGTATTACATCATCACAAACAAAATTGAATTATAGAAATTGAGTTTTGAGAGTACAATATTATTTTCTTTAATTCATTTCAGACTCACCAAATTATCCTAACAAATTTGTATCAAATATTATTTTTACAACACTTATAAAGTATTTCATAATAACGTGCAATACACGTTTAACTCTGACTAGTTTGCTCAAAAGTCCAAACTAGTTGTTTACAACTTTTTTATTTTTATTTTTTATTTTTTATTTATGCCTTTTTATCCTTAGCGCAATAGTTTGCATTGCTATTGAGATAAAGGGATAATTGGCACAAAACGTCCTTACCTTTGATGGGTTTGGGGCAAAACGTTCATACCTTTGATGGGTTTTGTGCAGAACGTACCTACCATTCACATTTTTGACGCAAAACGTCATTTCCCCATTTTTTGACCATTTTACCCTTCTATTAAAATAAAATGAAAAGAAAAGGAAAATACGTAATAAATTGCAATTATGGGTACAAACTTTTAAAAATGTGCAAATCAATCATAAACATGAAAAAATCATCACCCCCTAAGCCACCACCTTTGAAGGCAAATTCCTCAACCTCCAATCACCTTAGCCGCCCGACCAACATACCATCTTGAAGCCCTCATTGCCCTCTTCACAACCCACCCTACCACCAGCACCAACTCTGATAGATTTAGCTAGAAATCACATTCAAAAATTACAGCGCGGGCAACCCGCGAGTTCACACAGGCGAAAAATTCAGACGAAAATTGAACCAGTTCTGGGCGTAATTGGGCCTGACCCATTAGTGGGTCAGCTGCTCCTGATGAAGACGAACCCAACCCAATTGGTCCGCCACCCTGGGTTGGTCGGATGGCTCCAGAATCAGAGATCTTCGGAGCGTAGAGAATAGCTCGCTATTGGCGCTGTTTCATGAATTAATTCAGTTTGATGGTGTGTTGTTTGGAGTGAATTGGGGCCATATTCTGTGTCTCCTGTACTTGGGTAGACAGTTCGTGGTGGTCCGCGACCATGATGGTTGCCGGAGGAGAGATTTTCGACAGGTTGCAAAACTTCGATTTGCTGATTTTGATGCATGATTTCGGGCGTATAAGTGGATGAAATGAGTTTTTGGGTGAAAATTGTAGAAGATGTTGAGGATATTAAGTTGGTAGTGATATTCGGCGGTATTGGTGGCCGGAATGAGGTGAAAATTGGGTCCATAACCGGCGGCTAGGAGATTAGGAGAGATTTTTTTTGGTTCTTTTTAATATTTTTGTAAGTTTTGGACCCATTTGCATTTTTAGAAAAGTTTAGGAGTAAGATT